GACCTTTCTTACAACCTGGTGGTAAGATGAGTGAGAAAAAGATGAGTGATTTGGTAGAAACAGCCTAATTTCCTTAGTGACACACACAGGAGCAAGGCTTGTAAGACCAGATACTGTGAGATAAATGGGCCTTGGGAATTCATAATTGTACAATGTCCCACCCAACTTGGGTCTCAGTGGAGAAACCACCAATGACGGTCACTTTCCAAAGGGACATCTGGAAGCATGGCTGCTGCTGTTTCGCTCCTGCAACCACTTGATGAGTGAATCATTTACTCGGGACACGAGAGGACTGTCCTCTCAGTTATGAAGTTATGAAGTTATGTCTTCCACTTCCCCAGATAGTACATTGGCCACCAGGTTTGGTGCTTTGGTCTCCTGTTTAGGTTGTCTCACTGGGCACCATAAAATATGAGCCAGCCAGCCACAGGAGAGTGTGGCACTGTGGCCTAGAAATTAGAGATGCTTGGATGGATTCAGGCTCTCAAGGTTATGTCAGCTCTTACCTGAGGGCATTTAATGTGAACCATGAGAAAATGTTAAACACACCCATCCTACTTTTTTCTTCTATAATTTTAAAGAGAACTGGATGCCCATTCTTAGCCAAAGACTCTGGAATTTGAATATTTCTGATCCCCTTTTTCTAAGTTGTGGAAATTGGTCAGAGTTCAGACTCGTAGAAAACCGTTTTTGGTTGGTGGTTTTTTGGTTTTGGTTTTTTTTGCCTAGTTACTCTCCTGTCCAGCTTGTAGATATTTTTTTGGGTGACTCCTCCAAGGTGTCTATTTCCCTTCCTGTCCATCCTGTATAGAGAAATTGGGCTTGGGCAGGTGACTTCCTGCTTTTGAAGGTCTGGGAGCTTGGAAATTATGTCACTGCACCACTGTCTTTGGTTCCAAAGTAATTTCTCTGTTTCAGGGCACTGCTGTTGCAAACCCAACTAGTTATTCTGCTGTTGGACATGGAGGTCTGGCCAGAGCTCCCACACGCTGCAAAATTTTCTGCCTCAGGCCAGAAGCTTTGCTTATAGTCTCTGTTTTCCAATGTCTGGAGTTATAGGTAAAATGGAATTAGACAAGGCAATATGGGTGAAGCTTTATTACTTGTAACTTCCTTATGAAATCAAATTTGATCTTTCTCTGTGACTAGAAGATTTTGAAGAGCTCATTTGTATTTGTTCAGCTCTTCTTTTGTGAACGTTGCCTCTCTCTGCTCCCTGGATGTGCAGCAGGGAATTTGCTCTCACTGAACGGAATGATTAAAAAACAAGACTTCAGTGAAAAAAGTTCTGCTGGAAAATGCAGTAGTTTTTCAAGTAGTAAGTGTTGGTTCACTATGGTGCAGTTTGTGGGAGCTGGGAGCTGTGAGCTCCTGCCAGGCTTCTAAAAAGCAAACCAGATGCCTGTTTGCTCGAGAATGCTGAGGTTTTTGTGTGACCTGTCCTTACAGGGGCTGGAGGGGGGGGAAACAGAGCTGAGTTCTATAAAGTTGTTAAAGCATCAATTTCATAACTTTTTAAACACTTTTCTAGAATAAATTAAAATCTTTTGCTTGCTCAAACACTATGATACTTTCTGTTTGAAGTGCAATTGTGTATACCTGCCCTCTGTATGTACAGCTGCCTCATTAACCCTTTATTTAGTCACATTAATTATAAAAGTGACATAGGTTATTAATAGGATTATCCTCTTGGGCTGAGTGTGGAGTTTTGCTTTAATGCTGAATATATAATACTGCCCTAAATTCCTTGACACTTGCAGCAAATAGCTACTTCTCAATTTTAGTCAAGAGAATTTCTGCTGTCAGATCCAGCCATTGCCCTCATATTAAAACCCCTGCTTTTTCATATTACCATCTCTGCACTGCAATCAAAGCTGGATCTGGCTTTCATATTCACCCTGCAATTTTTTGTAAAAGCACACCAATACCCTTACAACAACCAGCTCTCACATGCTGACTGACAGATAACTACCTCTCCCTTCTCTTAGATGCTACTTTGTTCCAGTAAAAGAAGAAAAAAACCCCCAAGAAATACTTTAATCAAATCATGTGTGTTGTATTTCTTATCTATAACATATTTAAAATAATCCAGTATGCTCATTCTGCAGGCAGAAAGTTATTTTATGAAATATTTTACCTATTGATTCTAAAACTGTAAATCTGACATTAAGGTAGATACTTATTATTTCTCTCTTTTTTCCTGTCATTAATTTTCACAAACCTGAGATTGTTCTTTGAAGGATTCCAGCACTTTATTTTATTTTTGTTCTTCACATCCCTATGAGGATTTTTTTTGCTGAGAATCTCTTCCAAAGCCCTCTCATTTTAAGGGGAAAAGGCAATTCCCAAATACACCATATCACAGGAAAAATGCAAATTTAATGCATATCTCTGCCTCTACCCACTGTTGGCTCAGCACCAAGGATCAGACAGGACCTTTGGGTTTGTCCTTCTCTGTGTGTGTGTCATGAACTGACATAGCTGCTGGACACTTTCCAACCTGTTTTATGTACTAAGCCAGATATCAATGGAGATAAATACAATATATGTTGGGTTGAGTTAACAACTGCTAATTTTGTTTCACATAAACAGTACTGTAGTTAACTGAAAGATAATTCTGCAAAGCCTGTTTTGTCTAAGCTGGTTTTACCTTCTCCATTGCTCTCCTCTGGATATTTGTGTATAATGCAAATAGAGCTTTATGAAGAGATTATTTAAATCGCATGGGGTTGTAATTTCACTTTTCCCATTGAAATTCTAGTGTAACAGCAGGTTTGGACAAACTGTCAGACCTTCTCTGTGCTAGAAAGCTCTCAGCTCTTTTTTTTCTTTCTGTGTTTTCCTGGGTGTTTTCAATATCAAGCTATTTGGGCAACTATAAATTCCTTTAAGCTCAGAGTCTTTGGAAGACACACGAAATTTTTCTGGTGTTATGGTTGATAACCAGACCTTACCCACAGTTTATCCCTAGCCAGGTGATACCTTTTGTGGATGGCTTCTTCTTCCTCATAACACAAGGGCTCTGCAGCCCTGCCCAAGATTTACTGGGCTTTTTTCTCACTGATCCAAGGCGCTGCCCCAGTTGAGGGGGTGAGGGCTGTGTAAGTGACATACCCTATGGAGGGACACAGGCATATACGTATATCCATATACATGCTGTGCAATCTTCTATGGTTCTCCCTTGTAGTAAACCCTTTCCCTAATCTCTTCTAGGGTGATTAGGTAAAAACTACAGGCATGTAGCTACAACACATAGGCAGGAATATGGAGAGCAGGAACTCAGTGTATATCATCTCATTTCCAGCTTTTAGGGACACCGAGTTATTACCAATTTCAGGATGTTCATGTAAATCACAGAAATCCCTTCCTTAAGTTATTCTCCTCTTTCCTCTATGCTCTCCCATATTACTGTCTCCTTGTATGTGTGACCAGAGGGAAGACTTAATGGTGAATGCCCATATACATAAATTTTACATAGAGGTAAACTGGCATTGGGTTCGTAAGTTTAGTTGTAACTTTAGATTAACACAAAACTGTTGAAGGATGAAAGAATCTCTTCCTTTGAAAACCACATATGTTTCACGGGTTCTTTTGGTAAAATAGAGGATTCTTTTTTGAAAACTTGTTCTTGTACCACTGCCACGAGTGTTTTACCTCCTGCATAGCTGTTGTAATCCCTACAAAAGTATTGATAGGATAATTATAACATTACGCAAACTCACAGCTTTCCAGCTGCATTATACATGTTTGTACATCCATTGGAAAATTTTTGAGATCCATCGGACAGGACAGTATTAAAGTCAATCTGAAAGAACACAAAAAAATATATTAAAAATATACCACAGAAAAGCCATAGGACTGCACGGAATGAATGCATGAAAACTCTGGTAGTCATTAGAAATAGAAGAAAATACATTTTTTCCTTAAACTTTTGAAATAGGTGCACACACTTCACTCTCTCAGCCTAGTATGATGATGTGAAAAAAAATTATTACAGATTTTCAGAAAAACAACTTTTTCAGTAGGGTTACCTAACTTTAGAGAAGTCCGAAGGAATGAAACAACAACATGAGTGTTGGGTTTTTTTTTATGCTACAGCAGAATTATTGTACGGTTGCAGTATTTCAAATCCTTGACAGAAAATTTACCCAGATTTGCAAGAATTTCATAATGGATGTCAGCTGCAAATCATAGTGGTGAGGCAATTTATGTGTTATTGTCCTAAAATGAGGTGCCTGAATTGTCAACAAAAAGATTTAAGATAACATTTTCTGATACTGATGGTAGCCTGAAATATGCCTGTAATTTTGAACTGCAGCAGTGTTTCACGTTAGTCCTGATCCTTCCTGTGAAATCCTTTGCACCTTATAGGCAAAAGAAATATTTGTACATTTTACATCAATACAATAACTTATCTTTAGAGTGACACTTCTCAGTGGAATGAGAAAGAAGAATATAAGAAGGAAAGGCACACATTTTCCCTCACTGGCCATATTTAGGTGTCTGTTCATCATTCAAGGTCATGGTTGTGCCTTTCCTCTTGCTAGAAAATCACTTGTATGAAATTTTGGCCCATATTCATTTATCACAGAATCACAGAATTGTAGTGGTTGGAAGGGACCTCAGAGATCGAGTCCAACCACAAAATCAGTTCAGTTGATAGAATTTTCTCCCAAAACCTGAGGGGCTTGAGTTCAATTCCTTATACATAAGGCTCTTCTAGAACAACAAGTTCTAGGATCCTCCTCTCTTAAACCCATTCCCGGGTTTTGCTGTTGAGGCTGAAGGAAAGTGGCCACTTGGTGGCCGTATATTTCTTTTACCCTATTTTTTTTCCTCTCCAAAGCTTCTTGGTTCCTTCCTATAGCTTGTGTTTAGCCTCCAGGGACAGAGCTACAGGGTGAGAGTCCGAGGAGGGACCTCAGACCCAGGCCCTATTCCTATGCTACTAGAAGTGGTTCCAAATGCAAAATCTGGCGAGTAGGTTAATAACGTGGCAAGTCATTTTAGAGAAAAGGCAGCTGGACTTCACTTTGTGCTTCAGTAAATATTCTAGTATGTTTTAGTATTTATTCAATCAGGAACTATAACCTTCTTATTATTTTCTTGTCTGAATTGTTACAATACAAATAGGGAAGGAGGAGACACTGGGGAATGAAAGGAAAAAAGCAAATTTAAAAAACTTCATTTTCTTTCTTTTGATATCAGCACATTAGCAATTAGCATGTCTCACTTCCTCAAAAGCTTAACTGCCTTAAATTCATGTAACTAGATGTCAATTACATGATTTTAAGTGTTTCAGAAATTGTAATAGGTCTTAATTACATCATGAGAATATAAACTTTCTGGGTCCATAAGTAACACAGGAGCTATCTGGCATCTGCTTTCATGGCAACTAATGTCTGTTTATATAATTTAATATTATAATATTTGGATTTTTTTCCCCTATTTAATGTGACCATGAACTTGGTCTGAGTTGTAGTGGAGCTGCAACCCAGAGCTGCTGCAGTTTGGTGGTGGTGCCTACACTCTGCCTGGTGTGTATCTGGAGGGAGTAGGGCGAGGAGGAGGAGTTGTTTGGTCAGAGCAGAACAACCACCAGCGCCTCTCAGGGTGACTCAGACAGTCTGGAGATAATGGATTTAGCTCTACTTTCTACTTGGGTCCACAGAAGCAATCCTTTTTACTTGCTTTCCATCTTTTTCAAGTGATAGAATGTGTGTTGTGACACTGAAGAATTATGTTGCCAGATGGGCAGGCTGACCTCCTTTTGGATATACTTTTTTTGAAAAGTGTAACAGTTTTCACAAGTAGGTCACTGTATTAATACCAAATCTATATTATATCTAATGGACCATTAGTATACTTATATACAATGTGTTTCTCCTTAAATCAGGTTTTTAAATATAGTGGTGAAATGCTTACTAATTTCTGTAATAATAAAAGAGAAAAGGAAAGAAGTAGCATAACTAGATTCTGTCAATACTCATGATGGCTGCTTACAGCTTCTTAAACCTTTTCAAAAGTTTACTGTCCATTTTTCTCTCCATCTCCAGCAGTAAGAGAACTATTATTTAAATGTTGCCCTTCCTGAAACAGGTCATGTTTCCATGTTGAAGTGCAACCACAATATCCAAATAGGTGAAAAAAGAGAATTAACATTGGATTGTCATGGCATGGGAGGCTACAGCGTGTAGGCCAGTTCAGACTGTAATTAGGTTATAATACTCCAGGATTATTTTCTCTGTCCCTGCTCCTCTAGGCTCAGTATCTGTGTTTCAAAATAGGAAAGGTACTTTTTAAATTATTTTTACTATGTGCATACCTAATGAGATCACTTTTATTTTAGTATTAACAACGATAAATAATGATGATAAAGTTCTATTTTCCACACTCATGACTACTTTAGTGATAGTCCTGCATGACTAGCAATTCAAGCTATCCGTTAGAAGCTCAAAATTGTACCTAAGAATTGCTGTCTGGAAAAAAAAAATCATTTCATTGGAGACTCACCTGATGGAATAAAGTACATTCCCATTTTTGAAAATTCGCAACAACTTATTATCTGTCGTAACTTCATGAAAGTTGGCACCTTTTTCATTAGCAAAGAACAAATCAGGTTTCCAAATTGAATCCAGCATGGATGGGTCTAAGTCTAAAGAGTCATCTGGATATTCACTGTACGCCAGGCGCGGATCGTTCCAGTTCTGACGGAGAAAGATGTTCACCCGGTAATCCTGCATGAAAGGGAAAACAAGCAACGCTTTATCAAGCACGGGGATTTAGCTTTTATTTCATTTCTTAGCGATGTAATCCCCTGTCCATCTGTGGATGACAAAAGAATTACACAGCTGAATGCCAGCATGATACCTGTTTGTATCAGTGGGGATGCAATGGAGAAGAATAAAGATGCATTTCAGGGCAATTGAAAAAATCCCAAGCTAAGGAAACCCAGCCTCCACGTACAGCTCATATAACTCCACATAACTCTACCCCTACAGCAAAAATAAAAATGAAAGCAGCATAAAAGAATTTTTATGGAATTACCTTTTTCTGTCCAGTTCCTGGTGGGACATTCCTACTTCCCTATCTTAGACAGTGAGAACCTGTCCCACCTTAAGGGAAGTCAAATTAATTTATTTTTTCGTTCTCTAATCCTAACATATTTTAGACCCACCACTTAGATTTCCTATGTCTCGGTTCCCTGTTGAAAATTTTGTGAGCAGTAACTTGCCTCACAGCTGTCTGAGGAGGACACGTCTTCCTCCTCTGCTCAAATACAGAGGAGATCATATATAAGATCTTATAATAAATTAGCTTAGGTAGAAGTGGAGTCGCCTTAATTCCTACAGATAGTCCTGTCTTAATCAAGGAAGCTTTTATGGAAAAGATAAGTGGGATACCTCAAACTTCTAGAAGTCATTTTGAAGTTGTATATGCTCTCTGTCAGAGACAATATTGTATTTATGGCTGCATGCTTAAAACTTTACCACTCTAAAAGATGAAAATACTTGTTTCTAAATAAAACTAAATATTAGCATCTCGTTACATTATATCAAGAACAGGGAGACACTGAGCATAAGGACATAGGGACTACAATTTTATTGGCCATACTATGATTTTCCTCATTATTTGCACTACTGCATTAATGGAAGAAGATAAAAATAACATAGAAACCAACATGTTAGGTGCAGAGGGGAAATGGGATCTGGTTCTCAGAGCTTATGTGACACTTCTGCATATAATAGAAGTAAATACCATCACTTGTTTACTATTTAAAAAGACAATGAAAATTAATTTTCAAAAGAAAACTTTTAAAGTCAGAAAAGGAAATGAACAGCTCAAGACTGAGCAACACAATTTGGCCAATAACTGTTTAAACTTGCACATTGTGAGCATGAAGCTTAACTGCTTTAAACAAGTAGGGTTGTTTGATGCAAACACAGACACCAGAATTAAACTGCCAGAATTGATTTGTTTTCCTGCAAGAGGATTACTCTTCTCACGTGCTACTTGCCTGGAGGGGTCACTTCTAGCTCTGTGCTGGGGAGGTTCCTCAAGGGGAGAGAGAAACCATCATTTAAGTTTGGTAGCTTTCAGAGCCTCTTCTATATACCTCAACCATTGTCAGAATGTCTGCTGGACCCTGGTCCTGTGGAATGAGATCGCTACATGGGTCTGCACATTAGGTAACCCAATTACTTTGGGTAAATTGATGGAATTTCCTTAGTTTTCCTTTATGTATCTGAAATTTTTGGTCCAGACTAAAAGCTATTCAGCTAATGATTTCAATATGCCTTCGCTCTATAGACATTCAAGTATTTAAATTTAAGTAAGCCCCTCAAAGTGATAAATCGTTGTCTATGCAAGTTACCAATGACATTGTGAAATCAAAGTAGCAGAAGACCCTTGAAATTCACATTGATATTTGAGAAAAGTAAATAAAGTCTGTGTGATCTGATGGATTCCCCTGTATTTCCTCTTGCTTAATAGTTGCAACTCCATGGTTACATAGATAATTTATGGTGAGGCCTCATCTGTAGTCATACATGTTCAGAAAAACAGTATATAGAAGAAGGTCTGGAAAAGTATGATCTAGGACTGGACAGGACAGCCAGTTCCATGAGTGTAAACAGGAAAAGTTTGATTTCTTTAAACTAGTAATACAAAGGACTTGCATTATGACTTGGTTGTGATCTGTAAATGTATCAAAGAGTAAACACTAGAGGGAGAAACCATTTAAAATCTAAGAACAAGAACATCCTTAATTATCAATAAATTTAGGCTCGACTGAAATGGCTCGGTTTTTGGCTTGTCATGCTAATAAACATTGGTGATCTTTTCACTGACATGACTTATTAATGCAAATAAGGGGACTTATCTTTATTTTTTATTACATCTTTGCATTATTACAGGTCTGAACTGCAGCACGGAGAGTGCATATATCTATGCTGTGTGGCAGCTCAATTAATGAGTAGAAAAAAATTTGCAACAGACTCCGTGCTCCACCATTAACTGCAAGTCATTAATCTGTCAGAGATTTACCATAGCAGCTGAAGAGAAATTAACTGTGATTTAAATTGATCACTGAGTACTTAACTTTAATTGACACCTCAAATCTGTGTCAGAGTAACAAGATTTGACTAATGCCAAACATCCCTAAGAACATGCTTTTCTGTGCTGAATCGCTGCAGGGCATTCCTTACAAGAAGCCATGGAGATATGGTCTTAATTACAGTAAAGACTTTGTCTGACTCACAGAATTCTTCCCGATGATCTGTCTCTACATAATTCCACAGGTGGAAGCTCTCTCTCCAGAAGTGATTTTGGCAGTGGTTAAAACTGAGGATTATTTTATTGTTCTCACTCTGGAATTACAGAACCCATAGAGAGGCTGTGGTACTGTGGTAAGAAGAACTTTGTGAATTTTCTGAAGGATTCCTCCCTAAGAAAGGAATGTCTTCATCGATGGACCTGAGGAGAAAATTTTCCTCTTGCAATTTTGTGTTTTAATCCTGTGACTTGCAATTTTGCCATGTTAAGGGCAAGTATGCAGTTCCATACATGAAGACATAGAAAACTTTCCTGTCTAGTCCTGCCTCAAGTTAGTTGGCCAAGAGCTTTGTTGGTGATTAGGATCTCTGGAGTTGAGCCCTTGTGGGCTGAGGAAAAGCTGGTTCGGTTTCTGCATAAAAACTCTAATCTCAGATTGGTTTGGAAATGGTGGTTTCTCTTACCCACTCTGTTAAGTAGGATGGGCCAGATGGGTTGGGGATTTGGGTGAGGACTAACTTGCCTCTCATCTCAGAAAGCTTTAGGAAATTGTTTTGAGCTATTCAGAAAAGATTGTTGATGGATTTTGGATGAAGAGCACTCTTCTTCTTTGTCCATGGATGTATAAAAGCAGATTTTTAAGGTGTTCATTAATATTTTGAATCTTTGTATGTTTGCTTTGGTTTTTGTTTAGTTTTGTTTGTTTTTCTTATGCTTCTGAACTACTGGGTAGCCAGGTGGGATGTCCTGTTGTTAAAGTTTTATTATAATTTTGCCTGATTCCTTTGCAGAGTGCCCAGCAATACTCATATTGAAGTCAATAGAACCAGAATTTACTTGGCAAAGAACTAGCTAAAACTAGGAATTCATAATTGCTGTTATGTCAGACATCTCAGATTCCCTTACAAAGTCAAAATTCAGAGTTCAGCAGCTAAATATGTAGGCTACTTTGCACCAAGTGCTCTTCCCAGTGTTGTCACCTGCTGCCATAACCTTTCTTTTATTCTGGGTTGAGTAATATCTCATTTTCCATCCCTGCTAATGGTCAGGAGGATGAGAACTGCTCTGCCACTCCTCCAGTTCAGTCGTTCCCTTACTGAAAGCAGGGAGCCTCTTACAGGATGCTTCTTAGGACAGAGCTATTAGTCTTTGCCATTCAACCTGTAGCTAAAAGAAGAATATAGTCAGTAGTTTATGTGGGGACTGCTTGATTTTTAGCTCTCTCCCTCATCTCTATTACAAGAACTCAAAATCTGTTGAATTCAAGAGTCTGCTACAAAATCTACTTATTTTTTGTAGGTTTTAGGATGGAAACATTGCAAAATGGGCAGGTTTACTTGATTGCAGTGTTGTTTTTTTTCTGGTTTACTATCAGTAGCAATGGCTGGATTTTAGTTTCTGTGCTCAAAAATAATTATCATATCAAAAGTCACAGCTAGTTAATATCTAGGGTGTTTACTTTTTAAAAATTTAATTAAACACAGTACTGACACAGTGTATAATAATGTTTGTCACAGCTCGTACTGCATGTCCTAGAATATTTATTAATTGAAGGATGAGTATACTGCTTCCATTCTTAATGGAAGTTGTGTGTTCCCAACTCCTAATGCATTGCACTAAAATCACATTTTGCAACTTGTTCGATGTAATTGCTTTTTTAAGCTTTAGCTCAGGGGCTTTTAAAATGTTTGCACTTTTGAGCCGTAGTATAAGGGATTAGATGAAAATGGACATGACAATTACATGAACAAACATCATGCACTAAGCCCCTGCCTTCATTTGTCTTTGCTGTGTTCTCAGTTGACAAAATGTTCTGGGTATTTTTCTGCAGACAAATGTGTCCCTGAAGAGGCTTTTGCTCCAACAGCAGGAGGTATTTCTTGCTAAGTGAAGACTTGAGTTTTTCTGTGATTATTCGTTTGTTCAGATGAATTTTTGGTGCTATATATTCCGTGTTGTTATTAATACATTTCCTATGCTCGCACTTAGGATATGACTGGTTTCAATGAGTGACTGAATGGGCTAATGGTAGAAATTGAAAACCATGTATTTGAAATCATCCTCTGTTTCACCTCCTCAGGGAAACATAATGAAATTAATCAGACATGAATTTGGGAATTCCACACTAACTTTCCCTGCAGCCTTTCTTATATTGGTGGGTAAAAGTGACATTGTATAGAATAGGGTGAGAAGGATAAAATAAAAGCTCAAGTCCAGAAGGGCCCTGTCTGCAGCAGCTCAAACACCTGCTCACAGCCTCCTACAAGAAAGCCCTCAAGGAGGTAGCTGGCTACTTTTTTTTTCTGGGAAAGGAAGATATGGGCTTAAATTTGCCCCCAGGCTTCGATCATGTCTTGTAGAGACTTGCCCAGAAGTGACAGCCTGTAGATCCCTGTCCAGAGACATCTGCCCGGGGGGATGCAGATGGGAGGGTTGTACCTCCTGGGGTGTGATGGTTAAATCC